TAATATATATAATATAATATAATATATATATATAATTTTTCTCCATATTTCTCACCCGCTGCCATTTCCCACCCTCCTCCCACACTGTCTCAGTGTCTACAGTTTCTTTCCATTCCTTCCGACACATACACATTTTATTAATTCACAAAATAATTCATCTAACTACTTTCAATAGCAAGTTCAGCTGATATATACATATCTGTGAACACATGTCTGACTTTAGGCATGAAACTCTGGGGACAATGAATATACCATAAAGTAGCACCTAGCTAATGCTATATAGCTTACTGCAATCATTAAATAGGTATTTTTAAATAATTTTTTTTAATTTCAAAAAAGTAATTTTAGCTTTAATAAATCAAAATTTAAAAAAATCCTAAGAGAATTTTGCTTAAAACTTAAAACCAAGAAACAAGTTAGAATTCTGTTCAAATAGTAGGTACATGAATCTATCAGCAGCTCAAGGCAAGACAGAAATCTTTAAATCTGGATAACAAAGCATAGAAGAATATCTGTGATGTTTTAGTCAAAGGTCTTAAGATTCTATCTCACCAGTTCAGTCTCATCTACTTAATCTATCTTCCGTTGTGGTATGTTTTTCCCTTTAAATTCTGTAAGATAACATTCAACTCCAGATTTGTCCCTATCATTAAATTGTCCATTTATTTAGTTGTTTTTGAACTCTTATTTCTGTGTGTCTGTATTTAGTTTTTCTGGTATAGAACTACCTTCAGAACTTCTTGGAAAGCTGGTCTGGTGTTGGTAAATTCTTTTGGACAAGAATGTTCTTGTCCTTTCTTCCCATATGAAGGATAATCTTGCTGGGTACAGTATTCTTGGCTGAAATTGTTTTTCACTTTACATATATTTTCCCATTTTGTCCTTGCTTGCATTGTTTCCAATAAGAGGTCTGCAGTTAGCCTGATGGGATATTCTTTGTAGGTAACTTGACGTTTCTCTCTTGCCAATCTTAGTATCTCGTCTTTGTGGTTCTGGTCAATCTGGCTATAATGTATCTTGGAGAAGATCTTCTTAGGTTTTTTCTATTTGGGGTCCTTTGTATTCCTTGGGACTAGATCTTTTAATGCCTCTCTAGGTTTGGGAAGTTTTCTTCCAGGATTTCATGGAATAGATTATCAATGTCCTTGTTAGTCTCTTCACCTTCTGGGATACCAGTTATCCAGATGTTTGGACGTTTGATGGTATCTAGTATTTTTCGTATATTATTCTTATTGGGGGTGGGTATTTTCTTAGTCTTCATGTTGGATTTTTCTAGGCTAGTGATTCTGTATTCTACTTCTGAGATTCGATCTTCTGTATGAGCTAGTCTGCTTTTAATACTTTCGAGGGAGGTTTTGATTTTATGTATTACAGCCTTCGTCTCTAATAGTTCCATTTGATTCTTTTTTATGGTGTGTATTTTCTCTTTCAGATCATGCAAGTGCTTCCTCACCTCCTGGAACTCATCGACTCTTTTCTCCTGTGTCTTCTGGGGTTCATTGTCTCTTTTTTCTTGCATCTCTGTTAACTTTGTCACTATGAATATTCTAAACTCTTTATCTGACATTTTTGTGAGTTTCATTATACTGTCTTTGGATAAAGAAGAGTTATTCTTTTCCCTTGGGTGAGAGGAGGTATTTTCTTGCTTTCTCATATTTCTCGTGCCCCTGTGGTGATTTCTGGTCATCTGGTTGGTTGTGCATTTCTTCCTAATTCTTGAATTTCAATCTGAGTATACAGGGGCTTGCAGGAGGAGGTGATCTGCAATCTC